GCTCAAATAATTAACATTATGTGAAAAATGGGTAGACAACATGGCCTAATTAAAGACTTAAGAACTTGAAGTTTAAAAAAACTCCATAGATTTTTGATAATAATATTGTTAAAACATCAAACCGATACAACAATCAATCTACAGGAAGATTTATAAAACCTTTCCATATATCAATCTTACGAAATTCTCCAATTCTTATCGAGGCCCAATGCTATGGAACCATTTTCAAACCTGAGTTGTAAACTCAAAGAAACCATACTGCTCAAAAATTCAAATTGAACATAGTTAAACTTATTGCCAATCAAAATTCTTTACTTGATTTTTTTCTAGCAATACACTTTTATCCTCCTTTTAATTATCAAAGGTTATTGGATGATAAGAATATTTCTTCAAGTTCTCCGGTCTTGTAACTACTGTACATGATGAAATGTATTTGTATCCAATGAAATGTATTTGTATCCAATATTTTTAAATACTTTATATGATTATGTCAGAAATCACCTTGAATTGTAAATGGCTGCTGACAAAAATGAATAAATAAAAATTAAAAATTAAAAAATACTGTCTTTCTTTTTTGAGAATTTACTTTTTTATTATATTTTTTTGTCTGACTGCGAACAGCAAATCATTCATATCTCGTAAACCAGATACGCAATTAAGTTCAAATTTTCCGGGTTGTTTCTTTATACAATGCATTACAATTCTAGTGCTAATCCTAAACTTCTGTTTGAATATATTGATAGTTAGAAAAAATTCCAGCAACTGGAATCGGAGTCGGAGTCGTTACTTTTTTTTTACGACTGTTTGAATATATTGATAGTTACCTTTGCTTTTTGTATCGATTATATCTCTAAAAATTAAAACTGCTGCCACTTTAAAAATGTTTGTTATTTTTAGTTTTTACTAAAGTTTTATTTATTATAATATAACTTCTCATTGTTGCAAATTATAGCTCGTAATGTCCTAAAAAGCTAAGAATTTTTTTTTTCATTGATTATTTTGCATTTAATCAGCACAAAAAAAAAGAAAAAAAAAAGGAAATTAATTTTTGTTTTAGTATTTTTAATTATATTAGACAGTATTTTGCTTTAAAATTAATTTGGTTATATGATAAAGTTGCCTATCAAATTTTTTTTACCTTTTTATCACCTTATCATTTGACAGTTTTATTTTTCCGGTCTAGATTTTTTTCATTTTTTTTGCAGCTTTAGATAGACCTCAATATAATTATGCTTGAAACTAAAAAGTTTAAAATTTGTATAAACAATTTTATTGTTCAGTTACCTCCAGTTCGAACCTCCAGTTCGAAAAAACATTTTTGGAGTCCTAAATTAAAATATAGTGCAAATTAAAAATATTGTTGTTTCATTTATAAAGTTCTCCTGACAGAATATTCTAAAAGAGATCATTCTAATAAATTGGAACAATCTTTAAAAAATTTAACTAAAACTGATAGTATTGTAGTCGAATTAATATAAAAAATCAAAATAAAAAAATTTCGCTGTGAAAACGTATAATAAGCTCAATAGATTTTCACACTAAATGTATTTTTACGCAGCATAGTCACGCAGTGGTAAACACTAAGTTGAAGATGTTTAAAGCATGTTTCATATGGAGAGAAAAAAGAACATCATTAAAAAACAACTTTTGAATAATTTAAACTTAAGAACTTATACATTTAGTTTAAATTTAATACGATTAAAGAAATGTCAGCCAAAATATTTTAAATAAAGAAAAGAAATGCAGATAATAATTTTACTTAAGCCACGTTCACTCACTTATATTGTTTTTACGAAATATTTTTTTTAAGAAGGTGAATATAGTTTTTTATTTTTTTTTTAAAAAAAGGACCAGACAAAATCTAACAAAAACAAATCATTTGCGAATTTGGCTATCGAGGAAAATTTGAAAAAACATTAATTTGCATAAACAAATATATTTTGGAACAGGGTTATTACTAACGAAATTTGTATTATTTTAAACTATTTTAATAGCATATAGCATATATCATTTTTGTAACATAAATAATATACAATATATTTATAATATATATATACAATATTATATATAAATATATAATATTTTCATAAAATATATAATAATAACATAAAATAATACATATATATATATATATATATATATATATATATATATATATATATATATATATATTCATATCTATTATTTTAAGCTATTTTTAGGAATAACTTTGTATTACAACTATTATTGTTAATTATTATTTATTTATTTTTTATATTTTCTTTTTTCTTTTATACTTTTTATTTGGTTAGTTGTTTTGATACTCTAATGTCTTAATACCTAACGAAATTTAAATAAAACGAGCACATACTCTAGTCTAATGTTCATAACAATCATTTAGTTTAGTTTTTATTAAGAAACCTAAAAACCAAAGACTAGTGCATATCGGCATCAAATTGTTAACAGTGCTATGGCACGTCTTGTATTTAAACTAAACCAAAGGATTTTTTTTTTTAATTTATTTTGAAATCATATAATTTATTAGTTATTTTTAAAAACATTTTTGTTTATGTATATATTGCAAATAAACGACAGATTTATGCCAAAGCAAACCTGTTTTTCGTCTTACAATTAATTGAAATTATTAAAGAAAGTTGTGTCTCATACGTCATTGTTATGCCACCATTATAATGATAAGGTTAATTAAATCATTGACAAATTAACGATTTTATATATTGTATTGTATTTATATATATTATAACCGTTTTATTTAATTAACCATTTTATATATTTTATATATATAATTAAAAAAAAACCATTTTACTTTTTTGTATTTTTAAAGTTACGTTCTGAACGTCTATTAAACGTATTCGAAACGTTTTAAACATCAAAAGACGTTTAAAAAGTATTTAGAAAGAAACTTTTAAAAGCACTCGTTTCGAAGTTTTATAAAAATCTAATCATAACTGCACAAAAAGTAATGAAATGTTGTTTTAATTTTTTCATTTTTTGGTTGGTTATTAAAAGGTTCAAAAACAACAAAATATCTATAGATAAAAAATTGAGAAAGAAAAGGAAAGATCATAAATGTTGCCACGTACTTAGAATTACAAGGTGCTTAGATAAATCTTTTGGAGTTAAATTTAACTTGAGTCATAAAAACTCTCATTAAACGTTACTCCCTTGACGGTTCTCCGTGACAAAACCGTAAAGGTCTTCTGAGTATTCTTGACAAAAAATAAAAATAAAAACGTCAAGATTCTTTGATTGATTTTAGCGTAATGTGCCCAAAACATAAAAATCTGTGCGCTTATCTTCGGGCAATCTCTAAGGCAATATTTCTTCCGGAAAAAATAAACATTTTCTATGATTACCACATTTTAAAAATATGTTCCAGACATCTGTGCTCTGCTATGAGTTCTGCTCAATGTTTACATTTAACAAATAAACATTTATTTATACCTTAGTTTTAATTATTAATTACATATTTTACTGAGTAGTTTTAGATAAAATAATCTGGGAGTTTTAAAAATTAGTGGCGAAACGATATCTAAAAACTCAATTTTTGTAATATAATCTATGAAGATTTTGTAGCTTAGGGATAATATCAGAAGATGATATCTTATTCGATTTTATATATAAGGTTTTTGACAAATTAAAACAATAAACCGTGCACTGCATGTTGGGTTTAAACATCGTTAACGGTTTCAAAATTGGATTTGAAAACATTATACGTTGTTTAATGTCATAGTAATAATAACAAGCCAAAGCGCTGATAAATAGACAACTGAACTTAAAAAACCTGAATGGACTCATTCGCCTTTGATCCTATAAAGTTAACTAGATATCATTTACAAAATAAAACAACATGACTAAATTTTTATAAACATTTTATTAAAACTTTTATTACATTTGGTTTGAGATATCTTTGTTTAACTTTTGGTTTGAGATATATTCGTTTTGAATTAAAATATTCTATTTATGTTTCAAGAACAAAATATACTTTTTATAAATAAATGCATTTAATTAATACAATTATATTACGTTGAAACTTTTAATAAAGTTTTTTCATACAAAAAGAATTAGTTTTATTTAACTATCAATTTTCTGAAGCTAATTACTCAGATCCACATAGTCTCTCAATAGTCCAAATATAGTTGAATAGTTTCTCAATAATCTTAATATTATATAATAAAACCGTTTATATTAAATAATCAGTGTGTGGCTTAAGTCCCTTACTGAGTAATTAAATAAGGAGGAGAATATTTCGAACTAAACTCGAGTTAAAAGACCTAGAGTTAAACCGCCTCCTCTTTTTGAGTTGATAATGATAATAATGACAAAAACTAATTTGAAAATGAAAACGAAAGTGAAACAAACAAGGATTATAGTAATTAAAATTTTATAAATGTAATAAAACTAGGATAAGAAACTTATAATATAGATTTGTCAATAAAATGAATATATATCATATTAAATGTATCAGATGATCCCTTATAAGGTTCTGTAACTTCGAAAGAGCTTAATGTATGACGCAATCGTTGATAAAAAGTTGTTTAAAGTGCACGTTAATTTTAAATTAACAGCGTATATATATATATATATATATATATATATATATATATATATATATATATATATATATATGGTCAAGCCAAAAATCTTATTTCATGACATATATTCAAAATATGTGATTTAAATAAGAGAGAATTTCATTGACGTTAAAAATTAAAAAAATGACATTGCCATGTGCTTGTTTCGGATCCACCAAGATTACCAAATTATATGATTTTTATTAATTGACAACATATTTCATTAAAGAAATGGAAATTGTTGTAATTTTAGAACCAACTGGAATATTGTTTTTTTAATTGGGTTTCCGGAAAGAAACAAATTTCAAACTTATTGTCATGGTGTAAACAAAAGATTCAACGGTGCCGCCTTCTACGATTCGATCGTTGTTCGTCAATTCTTCACCTGAATCATTGATCTTTATCATTTTGAAAAGACATTTAAAAAGTTTTTCTATGTTTTTAAGATCTTTTGATATATGTTAAGATCTTATCATAGAGAAGCTGTTGATATAAAAAGCTTTATAAGAAAGTAACGTAAGTTTATAAAAACATAAATTAGTGGCAAAGAAGTTAATGGATTGAACAACACCAGTAAGAATAATATTGAAAATTTATTTAATTGCGGAGTTTTCTTTATGATTTTATAAAACTACTTTTTTTAATTCATAGAAAAAGAAAGAGAAGAACATCAAATAAAAGAGAAAACTTCAAAAGCTACATTTTGCATATTTTTGGATCGTTAGGAAGCTTAGACACAATCAGTGGGACAGTTTTACAGTAAAAGGGGTAGAAAACACTATTAATTTTATAATATAAATTTAATAAAAATATAATAATATTAGGGAATTAAAAAAAAAAAGCTTTAATATCAACAAAACAGATGCTTTGTTTTGCCCTGAATTTGCAAGAAATGTAGTGACGTCATAATCTGATAATGTTATGCTTATTTCTTGTCGATGCCCAGAAGGCGAGATAAAACTCATAATTAAAAAAAAAATTTAATCTTTTATTTAATTTAAGCGCCTATATTTGTGAAATGTTTACAAATGCTTTTTTTGTGTGACCCACATACGCATCTGCCATCCGAATTTGTTTTAGTCATTGCGCTAAAATATTAAGATTAAAATATCGATTTTTCTTTGATAACATATGTTTCTTTAATATTTGGTAGGAAATGAAATTCCCAAAAATCTCATTTATAAAACTCCTCTTATTGGAAATTTCACATTTAAAAGTTCACTAAGTTAATGAAATCTTGAACACACTATCATAATAAAAAGGCAGGGCTTACAGTACAATGATAAATTGTTACCGGTTTACGTATGCTGTCTATTTAATTCTGCGGTGTTTTTTAAGTGTGAAGCATGTTTCAACATTAGTAAATTTGATTGTTATAATTTCTGTTTATACTCTACTTTTTTTGTTGTTGTTGTACTGTGTATATTTATTGTATTTTAAATTTTTACTGCATTGTTTGCTTTTGTTGTACATTATTTTTTTGTCGCTAGCTATTTTGGATGTACAGTATTTGGTTTTACTATTATATATAGTCTACCTGATTGTTCTATTTCATTGAGTTTTGAACATTTAATTATTCTTTCTTCAATTATTTTTTCCGTTAATTTCTAAAGGTTTTAAATTTACAGTTTTCATATTAATTAAACTGAGAGTAATTATAGTCGATATAACTATATAATAATTAACTCATAATGATACAAGTATCATTAATAATTATCAAAAACTTTTACTATTTGGATAAATAATTTTACACAATACATAATGAAGAGACAATTCGAAAACTTTCATTTTTTGAGTTGATAATATGTGAACAAAACAAATAATGAAAATGTAATTTTTTATAAGATTTCTTCAAAATCTTAAAAAAGAAAAATTATTTTTCTAAACATGATAAATTCTACTGTAAAAAGTTATATAAATTATTTAAACTTTGCTATCTTTCATAAAGATATCCGAAGATGATAAAGCTTGCGTTTTTCTTCCTTCCTGCACATATGCATCACATTCATAATTGATGCAAAAAATTACAACAACTTTAACATGTGTGGCATCTTTTTTATCTAAAAAATTTTTCATTTCATAAATTAACTTGTAATAATAAAATTGTATAAATAACTTTTTTGCTTTCTCACTGTATTTTAGTTTTATGTTTATTTTTTTACTGTAAAGTTTGTTTGTGTATGCGCGCGTGGGTGCGTAAATCGCCAGGTATAAATATGCATTCCATAACATATTTATGAATTATTGAAATTATTTTTACTGTGTAATTTAAAGCTATTTAAAAAATAGTAATGACTGTATTATTAATTTTAGAGGTAAATGGGAATGTTTGAAAGAAAAAAGATAGTGCTGTTAGTTTCATTGATATGCGTTTCACAGCAGGCAACAAATGTACAAGACGCCAACTCTAAAAGTACTTCAACAGAGTTAAAAGTAGTAAAACCTCAAAAACGCGTGACGCCTGTCAAAGATGCAGAAAAGTTATCTATTTTAAGGACCCAAGACAATAGCCTTGATTTAAATACAAACGGAGAAGAGGTTTGGGATGAACTTACACACAATATACCATTAGAGTACATTGAAAAGATTTATAATGAACTTAACCAATTAGCTCAAAATGAAAATCGACCAAAACGTTTGTGGGGTGCTACTGCTGCTATAAATACGGATAATTTAAATCCCGAAGTAGAAAACGAACTTGAAAATAAAAAAAATGCACCTGTAATTGAAAAGTTTGAACGTCCAATAGGACTATGGCATAAAGATATTGAAACTAAAAATCCTGAAAACAGACTTCCTTTAGGACTTTGGGGTAAAGATAGCGAACCACTTCCAATTGGACTCTGGGGTAAAGATGCCGATGTCAATGATGATTTAAAAAAAGAACCCCTCCCAATAGGGCTTTGGGGAAAAGATACTGACTCAACTCGAGGAGATAATAAACCAAATGCTTACAAGGGTAAATTACCAATAGGACTTTGGGGAAAAGATAACGCTTTAACTAATGATCTTGGTAAAAAAAACAATGGTAAAGATAGTGGACCTCCACCAGGTCTTTGGGGAAAAGATAGTAAACCAATTCCGGGTCTCTGGGGAAAAGATAATGGACCAATGACAGGACTTTGGGGAAAAAAAGACGTCGGGCCGCCTCCCGGATTATGGGGCAAAAAGGATCAACCCCCTATTGGAATGTGGGGCCGAGCCGGAAAAAGAGACAGTAATCCATATCCTGGTTTATGGGGTAAAAAAGAAGAAGAGCTCGAAAATGTAGATAAAGAAATTGAAGAAGATAGTTTAGAAGAATTTCCTGCATGTTTGTTAGAAAACCCACCATGCGAAATTCAAGAGAAAAGATATAACATTGATAAAAGTGGTCCCCCACCTGGACTTTGGGGAAAACGCAGCGAAAAATATCAAATGAACAAACCTCCATGGAGAGGAGGTATGTGGGGTAGAAGCGAGATATTAGAAAACTCAGTTCACGATTCAAAAAAAACCAACACAATTGATATGGAGCATGCAGAAAATTAATTTTTATTTTTATTTTCAGTATTCTATGTGAAAAATATAATAAAGTATTATTTATTGATTTAGATATATATTAAACATTGACTGTGTTTTGTTCATTGTAACCCGCTTTTTCCCATTATATCTAAAACTTACTTTAAACTTTATTTACATTAATAATTAAATTGTTGATAGAAATAAATATACTTTTTATTTTTTAAAAAAACCTTCTTAGTTTTTTTAATTTACTTATTTTTGTAAAGTAAATTAATACATAAAAAGTTTATTTTTCTTGTTTTTTTTTTTTTTTTTTGTTCTCTTTCTTTCTTTATATATATATATATATATATATATATATATATATATATATATATATATATATATATATATATATATATATATATATATATATATATATATATATATATATATATATATATATATATATGTATATATATATATATATATATATATATATATATATATATATATATATATATATATATATATATATATATATATATATATATATATATATATATATATATATATACATATATATACATTTATTTTGTCCAATAATAAATAACCAACAAACATAGAAAAAAGAGAGAAGACCAAAAAAAAAAAAAAAAATGTCCGTAGAACGAATAAGGCAGTGAAATTTTTTCACTAAGCACCAATTTTGTACATAAATAAAACTTTTTTTTACAATGATCTTATTAAAAAAATAATTAAACAGATATGGTGAAGTAAATAATGACAAAACGCAATCTTTTTATAGAGTCCCAAATAAAGTTTAAATAAAGTATAACTATTTAAATAAAATACTGTAACACGGGGTATAAAATACTGTAACACATTTGAAAATACTGTAAATACTTTGGCCAGCGGGGTTACTTTGACCAATTTTTAAATGTTTAATTAAACATCTGTAACTTTTAAACAGTAGAGTAACGTTTTTCTATTTTACATAGTAAAACGTCGCTATTTTAAATAGTAAACGTTACTTACCAGTTCAAATTTTACAGATGTTTAATCAAACTTTTTAAAAATGGCCAAAGTAACCTCGCTGGCCAAAGTAACCCCGCTGGCCAAAGTAACCCCGCTGGCCAATGTGTGATGGTATAACAATTGTATTGTAATCTTATAAGCATAAAAGTACTGCACTGTAAGTCAAAAAGACATTAAAAAAAAAACTGAAAAAAAAAAAATTAAAACGACTTCAAAGTAGTTACTTAAGCACAAATGTTTTTAAAGTTTAAAAAATTTTTCCTTTTGCGAAAGACTTAAATGAACTTAAAAAAATTTGTTACAAAAATTTGACGTCTTTTTGATAAGTATTCATATTTTGGTCTTCTATATGCAATGCTATATTCCGTATATTTATAAAATTTCAGTTTTTGTTTGAAACTATCATATTTGCTTTTAGATAATATTAGATTGAGTCAAACATTTTTTTTTTCATACATATATTTTTCGGTGACAAAATCAAAACTATTTAATATGACTTGTTATCATCTTTTTTTTAGCATGTCAAATCCTCTTTTAAAATTTTTAATAAATATAAATAAAAAAATTCAAAGGCAGCCTTTACCCTCTATTCTGAAATGAATGTTTTTCCATTCAATATTTTCTGCAAGGAACAGAAAAAAGTAGGTAACCGTTTCAGCAAGGTATGGAGAGTATAGAGGATGCGGTAAAACAGACCAGTCAAGCTCAAGAATTTTTTCTTGAGTCACCCTTGCTGTATGTCCAACAGTTTTTCTTGGACTATTTGCAGCTGCTGAATATACATGTCTTCAGTCACCGTTTCATTCCTATTTAACAGCTCATGGTGAATTCCTTTGGCAATCCCACTATGCCCACAAAAAAGTATTTTTGACTCGGGTATTTGCATTAAGATCTGGTTGAGAAGGTAGAGATCTATAGCCAGCCACTGTCTTTTACGGACAATGTTCTCATATGTTATCTATTTTTCATTACCAGTAAAAATCTTCTTTAAAACGAAGTGATTATCATTCCTTCACCATACACACTGTACCGTTTTTGAGCCGCAGCTGTAGCACAATTGTCTCGTTTAAATGTACAAAAGTATCACATGTCAAAAGTGTATTTTTTGATTAATCATTATAAAGCTAAAAAAATAAAAATATTTACGTGTGCACCAAACGTACGCACCAAATTGAATCTGTGTAAAGACTGACCAATTTATACCTACGAAGCAAAAGTAAAAATCCCAATATCAGGGAATATCCAATTGTGTGCAAAATATAATAAAATTTACTACTTTGGTGGAAGTTATTTATTCAAACTCAACCTAATAGTTTTCTTTTATATTCATTTCATACTTGCTATCATGTTTTTCTGGGTAGAGAATAATCCATCAAATTCATATCTTTCATTAGGTTTTGAAAGAGTTTAAAATTATCTTTAAACTAAATAATTCTGCAAGCATGTTTTAGCAAGCTATAAATAGCTTACTTCAAGGCCGACGACACTGGGGGCACGTGCCCCCCCCCCCCCTAATTTTCTTGAGGAGCTTTTTTTTTTTTTTTTGTTAAGAAAATTCTTGATATATAGGACTTTTTTCACAAATTAATGATTGAGCCTCCCCACTTAAAAACCCGTGTCGTCGGCCCTGTCCTTGCATGACGTATTTCTTTTAAATCTCCATCAATTTATCGCTTCGAAATTTTTTTCTTGGTGTAAGCCTTGAAACCCTTGCTTTTGAGTGCTTTTCTTACAAGAAAACGACTGCATTTAAATTTTTTGGCGAGATCTCTTTGGAATTGGCATAGATTTCTTGTAATTGACCGGATGATCAAATTCACTTTGTTTTTGTTAACAAAACATTTTATCTTTTCACCGGGTCTTTTTCTTTCGATAGTTTGAACGTTTTGTATGGCCTTAATATGTCTCCTACTGGAGATTTAACTTTTAACAATTTTTAACGATTTAAATACTAAAGATTGAAGATTTAGCAAATTTTGACAATTTTTGAATGTGAGTAGATTGGATTTTGAAGGAAAATTTCAAAAACTTTTTTCCAATTATTGAATTGTTTAGTCATTTGGGACTGATAGTATCAATAAAACACAAATACAATTAAATATAATTATTAAGCACTGGCATAACCGCAATTCGATTATTTTCGGTTATGCATTAAATTTCGATAAATTTTGATAAGAAATGTAGGGCGCTAAGATAAGAAATGAAGGGCGCTAAGTTAAGAAAAGAAGGGCGTTAAGTTACAAATGCGATATTTAGTTAGGTAATCGTGATTAGGGCCAGGGCGTTTTCAAAAGGTTTTTAAACTGTTTGTCATTTTGTCCCATTATTCTTTTACTTGAACAAACAAAAAACTTATTCTATAGAACCTAAAGTTTCATGTCTATGCGAAAATAATTAGCCATAAAGCACCAAATAAAACTAAAGATCCAAAAGAAAAGATTTTTTTAAATTTGATTAAATGTCTGTATATATATATATATATATATATATATATATATATATATATATATATATATATATATATATATATATATATATATATATATATATATATATATATATATATATATATATATATATGCTTAAATAAATAAAATGACACAGTGGGTAGAACAAAATTGCCCTAAAAATTGAGAGTTTATGTGCCAGTTCTGATTATATTAATGTTATCGGTAAGAAAGAAGAAATAAAAAAACTTTATTTTTCTTTCTGTGATTTGTAAATAATTTGAATAAAATATCTAATACTAACAATTTTTAATACCCTTTTTTTTTTTAAAGGTGAGTTTCCACTCATCAGTTTTTCCACGGGAACGGGATAGGAAAGGGAAAAATAATCACGTGAGCATGCGTAGTTTTCCTTCGGACATATTAAAGCTTATAAAATTTATAATCTTATAATAACTTATAAATCGCCTTAAAATTTTCAAAACTGTTTATTGCTGGTTAGCGGTATTTGAGAGATAACAATTGGTGTTTAATGTTTGTGAAAGTGGTTAATGGTAAGAGTTAAGTGGTAAAAAAAAAAAGACAAGGAAACTTCATCCTACTCCGCAGTGTTATGTGACGATCTTATCGTTTCTTAAAAACAAAAGAAAAAACTTTTTATTAAAATTTGAGATTTTGCAAACGCTCCAAACAAAGTTTTATAAACATAACTTGGGCGCTTTTAAATGGAGTGGGACCAAGCGCTATCTTATGGTTTTGAGAGAATAGTTTTTTTTCTGTTTATTACAGTATACTGAATACAGCATTTCACTTTTTATCTTGATCTCTTCCTGCTTATTGATAACACTATAGTTAAAGCAAGTTTTTATTACCATATAAATTTGACAATTCTCTACAAGATAGCGCCAATAACTCAATTTAATTAAAAATGGCGCTTGGTTTCTTTCTGTTTAAAGATGTCTATACCCATTTGCTCTAGTTTGTATTTAGTTTAATTTTTACGGTTTACTACAAACTTTTGTTTTATGGTTGAAGTGATTGCTAAACCCTCCAATTTAGTTTAACTGCAGGTGATTACTAAACTCTCCAAATTAGTTTATAAATTACAGAAGTAATAAAAAAAAGGTTTTATTGTATAATTTAGAATCTGTGGGAGTAATTGTTTTAAATTTAGTGAAATATTTAGTAATACATAATTTTGTATAAATAATTGAAATTGCTCAAGGTGACATAATAAATAAAATTATTAATTTAAGTTTCTTAACTTTTAGGATAATACTAATAGTAACAAATAAATACGATATACAATGTTTTTTCACCCCACGTTACAAATTTTTTGCATTTTTAATAAAATGTTTTAAGAATATTTTTGGGCAAAAAAACTTAAGCCATTTTTTCAAGCCCAGGAAAAAATATAAAAGTTGCACTTGAGAACACTTATGAAGTCATTCTCTATACATGCTCTATTAATTCTAACAAAAAAATTTACCCCACAATTATTCTTTTAGATTCTAGAGACATTCATCTTTTCCTCAACTAATGCAACAATTAAAAAATATATATTTCTGGTCTAGATCCAGCTCCCTAACCTGCAAAAAGGAATGTTGTTTCGGAGTTAAAAAAGGATCTTCTCCATCACTAACTTTCATTAATTTCAATACATTTATATGGTATACTTTTACTACAGATTCTATTCCATCTTAACTCCTCTTTAACTGATTTTATAAGTAATAAATATTTTTATAAATATTTTTATAAATAATAAATATTTACAGTTCTAAGGTTATGAGAAATCGAGTGATAAAATTACAAGATTTTTTAAAGTTTATTTATCCAATGTGTGAATTTATCAATAGTCTATTTTGAAATGCTTTTTTTTTTTAGAACACTGTCCAGCTGTTTGTCAAAATACCATGTATTAGATGCACCAAACCATGTTCATGGTCATCAAGTAATTATTTTAAAAAACGTGCTGCTTTTAAAGATAGCAAAGTAGTACATGAACAAGGACTTTAAACAATAAATAACTCAAAAAAGGTTACAATCACGGACTTGATGACAAGGCTTCTCAACTGCAGAGACTTGATAATATCAGCTCCTCAGCTTCACAGATTTGATTTTAGATAGTTTTAGATAAAAAAATTTTTTTTAGATGAATGTTTTATTTTAGATCAAAAAAAAAGAGTATTTTTAAAAATTATTTATTTTTATTTTAAAAAATCTTTCAAAGAGTGTTTTCATTGTCGTTATTATTTTCTTCGTTTTTAGTTTGACATTGAATGTAACCTTGCTCAACGCAAAATTCAAACAAACGCTTGGTTTTGTTAACGTCAATTTTGAGCAAGCTTCTAGCAGTCTGGAGTTTCAATCCGTTTTGATAGAACGACTCACGCTGTAATATGTTGCGATGATGAAGATAAGCCGTCGGAAGCAAACGAATATTAGAACAAAGCTAAAAAAGAAAACAAAAAACATAAAACGAAACTGCATTATGGAAATTATATTTATGGAATTTTTTTTAAATTGGAGCTTTCAAGTTTTTAGATAACAAAAAACTCCTTAGTACCAAATTATTTTACAATTTCCTAAAACATCAATTTCGGAAATTAATTATAAATAAATTTATAAAGCAATATTTATTTATTATTAATCAATATTTATTTATTATTAATCAATATTTATTTATTAAGCAATATTTTTAATGAAACTATAAACAAAATAGTAAAAACCTCACACAGTGTGGTAATTCATCCACAAGGTTTTATGAGGTCGCACAATTTTTTTTTTTCATTTTAAAAACAGATACCAATCAATTGCAAAACAAAAAGTTTTAAAATCGCGTCTATTGACGGATATTTTAAAATTGCCGTTGATAGACGTGATATAATGGACGAAAGATTTTCACAATTTTTTTTTGCGATTTAATTACCTCAAATACAAATAACTTATTTAGTTTTGTAAATATTGGTTGGAACGTATTGTGAAATATTATCTGGTAAAACCCCAACCCAAACGAGTAAAAACTGGTAAAACAAAAAGCCAAAGTTATGCATTTTGTTACATTTATCATCTCTTCTAGGCTAAAATATTTTTAGCATTCAATCGAAAGCTAAAACTTAGAACTGGCAAAATTACATCTCTAAGATGTCTATCAATATAAATATAATAGAAAGGTTTGTTAATAATATATGCGTGTCTTTAATAGATAAATAATTGAAAGAATATAAACAATTATTTTTTAAATTTGGGTGTCTAAAATAATCCAATTGTGACGCAGTGGTTTAAAGTACTAACTTCAGAATCAAAAAGTCAAAATTCCATCTCCAGCTCTAAGCATATAAGTGACATTGGCAAAGAAGACGAAAAAAATTCCATATTAAACGCTATTTTGCAGAGCTCTGGGGTGAGGCCAATAGATCTTACCACATATACACATATACAAGACAAATTTTTTCATTTTAAAAATACATGTTTTGACTATATATTAGTCATCAGTTTCAAATAATTTCAAAGTTTCCAGCGTTCATACCAATATAATATAAAATTAATTAAAATTTTTTTTATCATACTATTTTTACAAAAAAACAAATAAAAAAGCCATTAAAATTTCCAATAAATATCCAGTAAAACAATTGTAAAAGCAAAAAGGTCCCTTTTAGTAATAACTTCATCTGGAATTGATAAGCAATTTTAAAATCATTATTAAATTTAGAAACAAATACTTCATTGGAATCAAGCTGTTTAAATATATGGAAGTATAAATAATAAAGGTATTTAAATAGTTTTTACCCCTCCTATAGTGTTCAAATATTCATAGTTTTAAAGCGACGAGATGTCTCACCCGTGTAACAGGATATACATCCTGCAAAAACAAATTTATTAACTACAAAAGATTTAAATTCAAAAGGAAGAAGATTTTTATTGGAAAAAAACTGGTTGGCAGTAAAAAAAATATCAGAGCGAAAACCATATTTTGTGTTGTTAATTTTGAAAACACCGTCAGTTAAACATTTAATGAAATATACGCAAAAGAAGTAAAACTATGAAAGTACAAAGTTCAGAGTTTTTTTATGAAAAATTATTAGCTTTGGATGTAGTTACATGTAAAAGAAGAGTTTGGATGCTACATCTTATTCCATTGCGAAAGATAACGATGTATGTATGGTATTAATGTAATCAAGAAAACTGGAAGCATGAATTTTAGAAGGAAATGCCACAAATATGTCATCAACATATCTTTTATAATAGTTTGGTTTGATTTCATTATACAATTTTAACCACTTATCTTCAATGTTACACATAAAAAAATTTGTGAGAACCTGTGAAAGTGGTCAACCTAATGCCACTCGGATAATTTGGTCATAAAATTGTCCTTTGAGGTGAAAGTGTGTTTGAGAAGTTGCAAAGTGAAATAGTTTTGTTAAATCAAATTAAGTTGTTTTTAAATTAGGGTTACTCTGAATGAAATTTATTTCTGTTTCATGTAACAAAATGCTGGTAAATAAACTAGACACATTGTAAGATACAAAATATTGATGAATGAAACACACACACACAAACACACGTATATATGTGTGTTTGTGTATTCTTATAAAAATCAGGAAAAGCACAATAAGTTATTGTTTAAAATTCAAAACAAGAGCTAGGTCAATTATTGAATGAACAAACATGATTAAACATTTCTAAACTCAAAGTTTAGATGATTGATATACTTATTTAAATTCAACATGTTTAAAAAAATATTTTATTTATAGAAAATATTTATGATGTAATATTATTCAAATTATGAAAGTTTAATTTACAGCTAATTGAGCCCAAAGTGTACCGAAACATTATAGTACTTATTCTGAAAAGTAAAGGAAATAGTCCTAGTAAACAGAAAACGACTGACGCAAACAAAGTTTGTTGATTATTAGAACAAGTTATCATATGAAAAAACTCTCTCTTCAGCTAAATATTTGTTTTAAAGGATGAAACAAAATTATTGTACTCCAAGTTAAGTGTTGAAGTGCAAACCAGTTTTAATAGCAATATAGAAAGAAGACTGAATAAAATATAGCAAAAAAATGTGCTAAAAATATAATCTTTTTGTACTAAAAAGTAGAAAATAAACTTTTTAAGTTAAATTTAATAGTTCAGTAAACTAAAGATTGACAGGTCTGCACAAGATTTATATAGAAACATACCTGTCAATCTTTAGTTTACTGAACTATTAAATATAACTTAAAAAGTTTATTTTCTACTTTTTAGTACAAAAAGATTATATTTTTAACAAATGTTTTTGCTATATTTTATTTTCTACTTTTTAGTCTTTACAGAGAGTTACAATATTTAGCAATGCGTTTATCTAGACATTTGTAATTATGTCAAGCTTTTTATCCTAAAGAAACCGAGTATTTGCTGATAAAAGGGGACGACTGAATAAGCGCGAATTTCATAAGTGCGAATGGCGTAAGTACGAACTGGCATATACGCGAATTGGCATAAGTGCAAAGCAGTTACAAAAACTGACACAAGAGCGAACTGGCATAAGTGCAAATTGGCATAAGTGCGAATTGGCATAATTGAGCCAAATGAATTTGCAAACATTGGCATAAGTGCGAACTGCGCTGAATAAAGTTGCAAATATTGGCATAACACAAATTACTATTTCGCTCTTATGCCAGTTTGCTCTTGTGCCAGTTTTCGCAAGCGACAATAGACTCTTAGTAAGACTTTGATACAAGCGACAACAGACTGTGAATGAGAGTTTATAAAGATGTTAGTGTCATCATATTGTTGAATGAGACTATAGTACTTACAAAAACCAGTATCAGGCAACTGTGACATACTCTAAACAATGTCAGAAAATCTCAAAGACTATTTTTTATAACTATGTTTATCTCCCTAAAACAAGAAAGCCACTGCAAGGCCACATTTTTTAACTGTTGGTATAACCTTCTTTGAGAGTTGTAACAACTGCTGCCTAGAGAGAGAGTGAGCACAATACTACTAGTTTCATAATATATTATAACCTAATAACCATGAAATAACTAATTTATTTCGTCTTTATACTTGTTTAGTTTACAATTTAAAATTAAATGAACCGTAGAGTAACAACTTTTTTATGCTGGTTTTTGGCTTACTATGCTATGGTGGAAACTATGCATGCATATAATGGAATGCATATAACTGTGTTTATCTCCCTAAACAAACAAGAGATTTCCCTAAACTATGCATGCATCTAATCAAAATGAAATTTTATAAAAATGTTATTCACAAAATTTAATAATTATAAAATGTATAAATAACTAAATATATAAAGATATAGATATAAAAAAATAATATAAAGAAACACATAATAATAAAATTGTTTTATAATGTAAAACTATTACAAGGGTTTAAAAGGGTTTAATATGGATTCATAGGATTATATTACTATATCATATTAGATGATTGCCAAAATTTGTGCCCGATCTAAAATTAAAACAAATAAAACGTTTTTGTTAATTAAGTATTCTTACTGCACATGAATTACTGTTAGTAATTACATAATTACTGTTAGTAAACATAATAAAAAATAACAGCACAGTCAAAATTGAATGCTTCTGCTATCTACAAATATCGGGGATATATTTTAGCATCATTTTCACACAGGATGTGCAACCACATTTTCTCCACTTTATTTCAAAAGTGCAGAGGTTAAGAGATTTTCTGAAAAAGGGTTCATTCATGCTTTAAAAAGTAACAGAAAATGTGATTAAGTTTTAGCTTACTTGTAAAACATTAAAAAAAACTTGGTACTATTGCCAAACTCAGTAAAACAACAAAACTTTTTCAACTAGTAAAGATTTTATTTTTACTTAAGATTCACTGTATTCACTGATTTCACTATACAGACAATTTTTGATATTGATCATAAAAGCAAACTGTACAAACCTCTCAATCTTGGCAAAAAATTCTGTTGAGTATTTAACTGTTGTTTTTACAAAAAAAATATTTTTGCACTGTACAAAAATATAGTTATTCTGGAGGCTTTTTGGAAAGCACTAGGTTTGTAAAAAACAAATCTATCCAGTGGCTTTTCTCCAAGTAAATTTGCTGTCATTTGTAAAGCTTTTGTTAATTTATTTTAGCAATGAATTGCCAGATGTGGTTCATATTTATAATTAAAAACATAAAGCTTCTTCACAAACATAGATTTTGTAAACAATTAATTTGTGTTAACAAAATAACTTAAAAGTTTGAACAATTATATTGTAAAGTCTAAACATTTACTTGTAAATATTTGTTTATTTCTCTTTTTATTCAAAATAAATTAAATCTGAATTCTATGCTCTCACTCAATACACGTGTGTAAAAATTTAGGTCAAACTAAAAATCTTTATAAAAAGTTTTATAAAAATGTATTACACAGGATTACATGAAAACAAAAATTTATTTGAATCAAAATTTTTATTGCAGAATATTTATTTGCTGTCTTTTCGGATTTTTTTTTCTTTTTTCTTTTCAGGGGTATTTTTATCTATAAAAATACACTTGAAAAGACAGCAAATAATTATCTGAAAAGACAGCAAATTAAAAAAAATTTTTTTTGAGGAAAATTTTCATAAACAACAAATCAAAACAATTTCATAAATAACAAAGTAGAATTTTAAACCTTTTTATCAATATATGGAATTTTTTTATGATTTATATTCTAAAATTTTCTAAATTTAATATTTATAAATTTTTTCAAACCAATCCAATTCAAACTTAAAACATATTTCACAAACAAAAATGATTAACTACAAATAACTAAGATTAGTTATAAATATTAAGCTCAAATATATTAAAAGCTTTCATCTCAATTAACAGAGGCTTGGGCGCGAGTAAAGGACTCCTTAAAAGTAACTCAACTATGGTTTCAATATTGATCAACAACTACTATACTTATGAAGTCACATTCCATTGTTCATTTATTCATTCATTTAGTCATTCTTTCCATTCCATTGGTCTAGCAATTATAAAGAATAGGGTTTTAATGCATATATTTAAGAGTTTATTAGGTTTGTGTTATGTCAATTCATAGATATGATATGATTATACAATACATTTCATGTAATGCACAACCTTGTAGGTTGCATCATTAGGTTAGGTTATTGAATTTAAAGTTGTATCATTTTTAAATTTTAATTTTATATTTTAAATTTTATCATTTTAACTTTATTTGGTAAAAATATAATTTTACATATGTTATTTAACGGTTTCTAGAAAAATAAATAAATTACATCTCTTTCAGCTGGCGTGAGTTTGTCTGTACCAGGTAAGTTAGATATATCCAAAGGAGGACAAGCTTTTCGATCTGTTTCAAATTAAAAAATAAAAAAATAAATTAAAAAATAAACTGTATCTATAATTAATATAATAACAATGTATAGATAAATGAACATAAGTAATAGTGAAAACATAGAAGTAAAAGTGTAATAATAAAAAAAAGTATAAAGTGAAATAGTAAAAACAAAATACTTAATAAAGGTACAGATGATAAAGGAGCAGATGAATTCTTTCTAAAAAAAAAAAAAATCTAATCACAATTATGATCAGAATAAATTACAATGGTCAGAATAAATTAAAATAATTATAATGATTAATTACATTTTACTAAAACTTCAAGTAATTCTTTCTCATTCTCTTTACATGAATATACACACATACATTACATACACACACAGTGAAATTATACTTTGAGGTTATGAAGCATAACTCTACCAAAACATCGCTGCTGGGTGTAGTGGTAGAGGCTTTAAACAAGGACATACGAAAATTAAGGGATAAAACTTATAAATTTCAACTTTTTTTCAACTTCTATTTTTTCATTTAGTAGGCTAGCATAAATGTAAACTTGTGTTATAATGTTTTCTTGTGTTATAGTGTTTTCTATAATGAACACGGGATTCCTGAATAATTGCTAAATCTATTGATTGAGACATTGAATTTAGATTGAGAATTAGAACCCTGGATTATTTATTTATGGGTCTCTTTGATTCATAAAAGATGTCTAAAATTTTACACATCTCATTAAAAACTCACTACTAGGGAGGTCTCTTAAATAATTTTTTTTTTTTTTTTAAATAAAAAAAATTCTGATTCATTCACAAGGCTGCAAGCAACCACTATTAAAAACTTTCTAAAAGTTTTTAGAGCAGGGACAGATACAGTAAAAGGATGACACTTTTCTCAATGACTAGTCAGGAGAGAATGAGTTTTGCTTGGTGGAACTAGAGACGAGAAAATGGCGAGCATGATAAAAAGAAGCAAACTTAGCAGATGCTAACTTAGCAATCGATTGTATACATAGTTTCTATAAGGTCAATAGTGAACAATATTCCAAGAAGACATAAAGAAGAGGACTTAGTGAGTGGATAGCCATTAATCAATATAGGGATGTTAACAGTATTGTTGTAGTTGTTTAGAAATATAATTGAGATATGACTTTAGCAATGAAGCTGGAGTAATTTAAATGTCTAACAATAAGTTAACCTGTCTAACTGGAATGGTAGAAAGAGTATGACCATAAGATTCAAAAGTTGAATTAGGAAAAAATAAGTTCTATGGAAATAGTTCAGCCTTATCTTTGAAAGAGGTAATAAGATCAGCCTCATGAATTAAAGAAAATGTTAGACTTGTTAGAATGTTAGACTTGTCTCTTGAGCCTAAGTTCTGAGATAAGATACAAGATTTAGTAAACTAGAAATAATGGAGCTTAGTATCAGACAGCACCTTTTTACATCGATTTTTTGCAACAGTAAATAGACATTTGTTCTCAAGAGAGATTCTCATTTGAAGTAAAGTTAAAAAAACTATTATGATTAGATATAGCAAAAAGAAAATGAAAATAATGGATGAAGTTTGTATTAGAACCGACATGAAGGAACAAAAGCTTCCATTCCTGCCTGGATCTATGAGGTTATGTAGGAGACGCATTTATCTGTTGAGAGAAAAAAGTCATCAGCTCAAGGACTGCCAAAAAAAAAAAAAAAACACAAAAAAGAATCCTAGTCAGTCTTAGGGTAAGTAGTGTGAAGAATAGGGTGAATCTAAAAAAGAAGTACAAGATGAAAGATTTATGGAGATCATTGCATGGTCAGAAAATGAAACAGAAAAAAAAAAGATAAACTGGACACAAGCTATAGTCAGAGACAAGATACAAATTAAGGAGTGAAGGTAAGTGATTAGGGTTGTCTGGAAAACGAGTCACAAAGATTAAGAGATTAAGAAAAACAGAAGTTATGGGTTGTAGTGCCTGCAGGGTCAGTGATGTGAGAGCCAAGCCATTCAGTGTGATGAGAATTAAAGTCACAAATAATAACAAATATTAACAAAGAGAAGATAAAGTAAAATGGTGTTTAAAAAAAAAAAGCACATAAATTTTAAGAAACAAGTTTTTTTTCAAGTTTTTGCATTGTTAGCAAAGATTTGAAAAAAAAAAAAATTATGATAAAAAATCCTAAAGTCACACATTCAACCAAGACATATACTTATATATTATTCTTCCACTTTTGTTTTAAAATCCTAAAGTCACACATTCAACCAGGACATATACTAATATATTGATTCTTCTATTTTTGTTTTAAAATCAGATTTGAATAATCTGACTGTTCTTTTATGTACTTTTGCTTAAAACTAGGGTTGTTCGCCGAAAAACAAAACTTGCGAAAATTTCGCATCTTTATCTACCGTAATAGAATTGTTATTGCGGAAGTTGCACATGCAAAAATGCACATTCCGTAACGCGCAATACGAAAATATAAATAAATAAAATTCCGTAATAAAGCATTGCGAAAGAAAACTTGCGAAACAAATCATTTCGTAAGAATACTTACGAAATAGTTCCTTACGGAAAAAGCATTCCGGAATGTGCAGTTACGAAAAAGACGCAAAAGATTTTATGTTACAATATATTTAAGATATTAACTGTTAACAGTTTAAATAATAATTAATAAAATTATAAAAAAATGTTGTCGAATGATTCTTCAAATGTTTATACATATATATATATATATATATATATATATATATATATATATATATATATATATATATATATATATATATATATATATATATATATATATATATATATATATATATATATATATATAGTAAAATCCCGTTAAGTTTGACTCTCAATGAACAAATAAACAGTATGCCTTTCTTTTTAAAAAGTATAAAGAGGATGTGTGATAAACAATTAAATACTTTATTATAAAGAACGAGAGATCTCTCTAAAGGTAAATGATATCAGAAAGAGTAAAAAGAGAAGAAATATATGTGAAACAGCGGGATGTGAACCTGGGTCTACGCGGCCAAATGTCTTAACTGAATGAGGTATACGTTCATTCAACTAAGTGAATAGTAATATTTATTTATTATATAATTAAGAAACTATATAAAACAGAATTTACAGAAAGAGATACGTATGCAAATAGAATTCTATATATCAGGAAAATGAATAGTAATGTGAACCTTTAGTTGGTTATAAATAATATCTGGACTCGAAAACTAGTTACTTTTAATGGAACTCAATAGGCTGTAGGAGCCTCAGGGAAATTATATTCAGTTATGATTATATTAGACTCAGAGTTAGCTAGAAATTATTACAAATTGTTTAGGACAGATGTCTAGTACAAAAAGCACAAGATTTAAAGCAAAATGATTTATTATATTTGATAAGGTTGTTTTACGTACATTTCATCATAATTTAAGTAGAACTTAGTAAAGTAAGGGAAACGTGTAGAGTTAAGCATAATGAACTCAATCTTAAAAGAATAACTAACAGAAGAGGGGTTGTCACTATTATGAAGGTGACGAAAAATCTGTAATATAGAACATGGAGGTCAAAAAATGCTATCTTAAGTAAAAAGAGTTTGATGAACAAAAGTTACAATGGCTGCGGGGTGCGAACCCGGATCTCTGCGGCGAATTATCACGTATCTAACTGATTGAACTATACGATCTTATACTTAAATTTATATCTTATTAAAATTAAAAAAAAAAATTTTCTAAGATCTATACTTCGAAAAGCGTATTCAAACAGGACTCTACATACCTTTAAAATCTGCTAGAACTTTAGTAACGTGCACACTTTTAGAAATTATTGAAATAAGTATATTTTATCAGAAATATGCTTAAGCTAAAGCATATTTTTGAGCCTCATTTTACTATTTGCTTAAGCATATTCGAACCTGTTTCAAAAATTTTATATGCTTTTAAAAAAAAACTAACATGTATATTCCTACCTATCATTCTTAATTTTAATATACGTAATGAGTTCAAAAAACATCGTTATATATATTTATTATGGCACGTTTCGTAAGTTTATTTCCGTTAAGAATTCTTTCGTATGTTGTGATTCGAAATTCTTTCGTTTCGAAAGAAATTTTATTTTTTATCAATATTTCTAAAAATAAAACCATAAAAATTTAATATGTTATTATACTGAAAATAAAAATTCATTATAAACATTTTGGGATTTAAAGATGTTAATTTTTACAATTAAAATCAGTCTGGCAAACAAATTTTCTTCATAGACTTCAAAACGTCGTTTGGCGAAAATGTTTGTTTCGCAAGTGCGACTTCCGAATCCGCTACTTTCGTATGTTGCAAAATAGTTTTGTTTCGTATGTCAACTTGCGAAATGCTAAATTTCGGAAGTGGCTTTTGCGAAATGAACATCGGCGATTTTAAATGTTTTGTAACATTCGGTACGAAAAAATGTAATTCTTCGTTCTCAATCTCCTTACGAAAGAATGTTGTTTTTCCGGAATTGCACGAAATCCTCCGGTTAACAACCCTACTTAAAACTACTTTTTTTATTGTTTTTTTGGCTTTTTCCATAAATAATGTTAGTAGATAAATAATGATGGAGGTGCTGCAAAATATGACAATAAATGACAATGGGGAGGGGGTATTGATGTCAATTAAAAAAAAAAAATTTGAACTTTACATTTACACCATCTATTAGCTGATTTTAGAGGTATTAATGCTTACAATATGGTAAAAAAATTATATGCTTATTTGCGCTGGCAGTAGGAAAATCATTATTCTGATTGTGATGTAAACTAATAAATCCTTAATACAAATATGCATTGCTTAACTTGTTGATGTTCTCATTTGGAAATACTCATCTTAATAAAAAGAAGCCAATTATTCAGATATTCAAATACTCAGAACAAACTATTCAAAATGAAGTCCATTGTTCATGGAATTCATTAAAAGGAAGATAAGCTCGAGCATAAAGTTTTTGAATCAAGAGTTATGTTTTTGGCCGATTCATTGGCAGAGCAAGAAATTATCATTTTAGTTTGCTACTCCAAAACAGTCACACAACACGTCTATTCCAATTGAATTTATCAAGAATTCCTTACAGTTTGTAGAGCCTATCAATGAGCTATTTGTAATTGATGGTCAACAAAATCTATCAACTTCCAATTTGTTGACCACTAAAAACCAAAAGAGATTAAAAAGTGATTGATTAAAAACAGTGGCTCAAGATCAAATCAATTCTAAGAATCTTTAAATTGTAAAGTAGAATTTTAACTTTAAATTGTAAAGACTAGAAAAAGAAGTGTATAAATTATTATTGAAGACAAAACTAGCAAACCAAACCAAAGAACTAGCTAAGAAAAAGTATGATCAAGCTCAACAGAAGAAAACTAGAGAACTAAAAAAAGCTAAAATTGAGGAAATTTGTTTAGAACATCCAGAAGTTGAAGAGAAAATGAAAGTCAGAAAGAAACCTGGCTAATTGTCATTAGAAATTAATCAATCTCTTTTGAAGGCAATTATTGCTATTGCTATCCATGATTCAGCTGCTGATGAAAGACGCTGATCAGAGGTTCTCTGATGCATCTACTTTTGAGAAAAAGTGAATTAGAACGTAAAAAGCATGTCAAAACGGTCTATATTAGATTGATCAGAGCGCTGAATGAATACCATTCAAACTATATTGATGAACTCTTCTGCAACTCAACTATAAAACGTGAAGTTTGCTATATTTTTAGGCGATGATAAAGTACATTTTTTTAGCCAAGAAGGCAAAAATGCTAATTGGAATTGCAACAGCTAACAAACAACCACTGCTGTTACTGTACTTGGAGTACTGGGTAACTTTCCCAGACCACAATTGGATCATGGTGGCTAAACACAAGGTTATACCATCTGTATATGCTGGAATTATTCCATCAAGAGATGGTATTAGAAAAATAGATGCTGTTCTGTACCTACCTATATTGCTGTTTGATCAGGAAAACATGCATCCTTATTTTATGAAGAATAACCTAGATGCTGTTTTCATGAAGAACGCTTTAGGCCGCAGTGCATTCAACTGAGAAAAGTGACAAATGGCACTTCTAAGTAGAGAATTATCTGAGCTGATTCTTCCACACAAGCATTATGGAACTCATTTAGAGGCTCAAGGTAATTATAAATAAATCACTGATAAAAATAAATTCGTAAAATATAGAGTAATTTTTAATCTATAATATCCGATAAATCTTTTTAAATTAGGCAGGACAGTAGATGAAGAAAGGAGAAAAACAAAACTTAGGTTTTTCTGGTCATATTTTAGCAGGTATTTGGTCTGATCTATAAATTGACAGTTATCTTTCTGTTGCAACACATATTGATCCAGAGCAATCAGAACTAAAACCAAGAAACCTTTAACTACAAAATCAATATAAGTAATTTATTTATTACTACTATTGGTTGATCTAATTATAATAAGTGATGATATTCATTTACACAGGTTTTATAAATATTATTTTATTTATAGCATTTCTCATGCTATAAATAAAATAATATTTTATTTATAGCATGAGATATTTTAATTTCTATTTATATTTTAAAATATAAATAGTAATAAAATTGTTAAATTTCACAAGTATTTAAATGATTCATTTTATTACTTTTATATACTTAATACTTTATTCACATCACTTTCTTAAGTTTTTTTTCTTCAAGTCTCATTTATTATTCTTAAAGGTTATCCACAAAGATTATTCTTAAAGTTATCCTCAAAGGATTATTCTTATATTTAAGGATTATTTGTAAAAGCCTTAAAGATTATCCACGGCTTAAAGCCAATACCATTTTAAGAAGGTATATCTGCTGACCTTCTTAAAACAGTTTTACTTTAAAATTAAATATATTTTAATATGTGTATTTTCAGAAACTATTAATTTTAAATGTAAATAAATATATAAATAAACATTTATTTGTGTCGTTTAAACTATTCTCTGACTGAAAAACAATTGAATATATACCAAAAGACAAATTTCAGGATTTTTTTTGTTTAAAATAGGTAACCTCTAGATAAATATGTTTATACTAATACATGTTAAAAAAAAATCACAGTAATCAGAGTTTGGGAACAATAGTACTTTAAAGTTAGAGCCCCAAGGTCAAAATATTTGTAAGGGGGAGGGGACAGTACTAGCTTTAAAAAAAAAACTCTACTATTATAAACACAACTAAAATCTGTAAAATTCTTATTTAGTGAAAAAATATTTTAATGTTCAAAAGTAATGACGTAAAATTAACAACCTTTTCAAAATAGAAGGGATTTTAAATTTTCCTTGGTCGTCATTTTTAAGTGATAAGAAATTTTTTTTAGATTTAAAAATTTTTTCAAAGAATTTTCACCTAGTTCAAGATATTACATAAAAAAGTTCCATTTCTTCCTTTATGTCAATTAAACCATAAAATAAATAAAAGCTATGTAGCTTTTATTTATTTATGGTTTAATTGTTAAATTTATCCGAAATATGTAATATTTATAATAGAGTCTTATAGACTTATGTTTTATATTGCATATATAAACAAAGTTAAATATAATTAAAAACTAACATGCAATTTGCCAGTTAAATAAAAGAACAAAAAAAAAAAGTTCAAAATAAGAACCCATTTATTTGTCTCTGTAGCCAAATTTGACATGCTAAAGGATTCTAAAACAAAAAATTACAAAAAATTAAGTTTGTAATTTTATAAACAATATGACTAAAACCTAAACTTTAAGAATAAATTTAAATTTAATCATTTTACATTTTTATAACTTCATTTGATATAAAGTGCGTGTGTGTGTGTTTAAGTGTGTGCATAAGTTTTATTGTTTTTTTGTTTTAAACATCTTCACTTCCAACAAGGCTACAAGCATCCACTATTAGAGTTGGAAGTTATGGAAGAGAAATGATGAAGTTTATAAAGCAAGAGAACAATTGACAGACAACTTCAAAGATTGCAAATTATATGGATCAGGAAAACAAGAAGAGAATTTCAAAGCGAATTTCAAGAACTGATGTTTGAGGGGAAAAAACTAGTTGAAAAGAATTTTTGGAGCACTTAGGGAGAATTAACATAAAAAGATGACACTTAATTGAATGAAGAGTAACACGAGAATGAATTTAGTAGATGACACAAGAGATGCTAGCTCTTTAAAGTATAGGGTCAAAGATAGAACCTTGAGGAACTCCTGAAGTTACAGGAAATGAAGAAGAGCGCTGTCCATTGAGGGCAACATTTATACTACAATTGGTAAGGAAGGATTCAATAATACTAAAGATGTTGCCTAAAACACTGTAAAAAAAGAGATTATGGAGAAGACCAGCATGCCAAACTTCATCAAAGGATTTAGAAATGTCGAGAGCGATAGCCCTAACCTCTCCACACCTAATGTGACATCAGGTGTGGAGAGACATTAGACATCTAATGTCTGATAAAACCTATTGACTATTACCTCTAAGCAACCAGTATATATACAATCAATATATATATATATGTGTATATATATATATATATATATATATATATATATATATATATATATATATATATATATATATATATATACATATGTGTATATATATATATATATATATATATATATATATATATATATATATATATATATATATATATATATATATATGTGTATATATATATATATATATATATATATATATATATATATATATATATATATATATATATATATATATATATCCCTTAGAATTAGAGTTGACAGTTGGCAATGTTGACCTAACTGCCAACCTTAAAGTGTTTGAGGTAAAACATAGAAACGAGGTGGGCAATTTTCTTCAGACCTCGTTTCTATGTTTTATAGTAGGACCTTTTTATTAAATTTTTTTTGCTGACTTCTAAAAGATTGAGGTTGGCAAATTATTACCGACCTCATTTTTCCTAACTCTGAGGGTTGTATATACATATATATTTATATATATAGAGAGAGAATACAGCAAATTCCCATTAACTCGAAACTCCAAGGGACCAAGGAAAACCTTTCAAGAGACTATAGAAAATAGTTCGAGATAACAAAAGTTCGAGTTAACCGTTGTGTGACTTTCCAGGAATTAACTGTTATGATACAAAAACTTATTGTGAAGCCATATTTTATATATATATATATATATATATATATATATATATATATATATATATATATATATATATATATATATATATATATATATATATATATATATATATATATATATATATATATATATATATATACACATATAATGATATTATACAGAGCTTGAATTGATCACAAACTTTGATATCTGGAAATGCTTACAGTCTTTAAATTTTTAGCTTTTTAAAAACCGTAAACTCCGTTTTGATTACTGAACTCAACAGCTGTTATTATATATATATATATATATATATATATATATATATATATATATATATATATATATATATATATATATATATATATATATATATATATATATATATATATAAATTTACTAATGCAAAAATATACATATTTTTGATTATTGTTTTCTTAAACACTAGGTAATTTAAGAATTACATAGAAAGAAAAAGCTATATATAAAAAAAAAAAAAATTTATAAAGGTTCGAAAAAGTTGCAGTGTAATTTAACAATCAACCAATAAAAAATTATGCTAAAGCTCTTTACGCATTATATGAAACATTAAATTGTTTTTGAGAAATCATTTATTTAAAAATTTAAATGTTATAAATTAGAAACTAAAACTTAATTGATAAAAATAATAATAAAAAAAATATATTTTAATAATTCATTAGTTTTTTTTGTTTTAAAATAACTATAAAAAGTTTTTGTATATTTTTAAACACTTTTTTTTTTGTTTTTAATTTTGTGGTATATCTGCAAATGAGTTACGAACATTTCATTGGAAAATAAGATTTAAATAAGATAGAAAAGTCTTATTTATCGATTTCTTTTATTTGAAATATTTGGTCACCACTATATTCCTTTAGATTGTTGTGATTAGTGGTTGTTTTTTAATAACTATATCATTCTTTAACATGCTTGATTTTTTTAGTTTTATTTGATGATTCCTAAAACGAATTAAAATATTAGAGTTTAAATCACAATCTTTATTAATAAAAATAATAGTAATAATATAAATATAGTAATAAAAAATAATAATATGGTTTTACAATAAGATTTTATTTTCATAATTCTAGATCAATATAAATATTTTTTATTGAATACCAGCTATGAGTTTAGTGATCAAAATAGAGTTAACAGTTTTTAAAAGCTAAAAACTTTAAGACCAGAAGCATTTCCAGATATTTCCAGATATTGAATCCTTCTTACATCTTTATGAAGAAGGACTTCACTCAAATATTCTCGATTAGGCTTTAGTTTTTTCCTTCGCTGTTTCAATTTTTCATATATTCGAGCATCTAAGAACAAAAAATATAAACATTTCAACATTTATAAACTTTTTAAATATGGCCTATCTGACTTAACATCAAATGATACCTTTCATATTAGACAACCCCATACTTCTGTATTCTTGAAGATGTCTTATTTGGTTTTCAAGCTGTTTTTGATCTAGAAAAAAAAGCTTAGTATGTACCCATGTAATTAAGCAACTATGCAAAATAACATTCCACAAATTTTGTAATATAAAGAAAACTAAGAATATATATGTAAAAATATTTTTATGTAAATATTTGTATGCAATTTGCATTACTATTACAAATTTTCTATTTTATAATATTGTGTAATTATATCATATGATTGTGTAATATTATATATTACACAATCCATTAAGTATTTGTAGAGTAACACTTTATTACAAGAATTTAAATGTTCCTAACAGTATACTAAAAAAAAAATTTGGATAAAATAACTAATTTTAAATGTAAATAATAAAATAAATATTGCAATATTCATATAATTCACAATATTTGTGTATATAACATACAACTCAGAAATAAACATTTTTTCCTTAAAATGTTTAAGTATGATATAAAAATAATATAGAGCAAATAAAAATAAGAATAAAAGAATAAAGAATAAAAATAATAAAGAATAAAAATAAGAATAAAGAAAAAAAGAATTCTCTAACTTTAAAGTATGATAAAAGATTAGATTCAGATTAAAAAAATTTTTTTTTAATTGGTATACTAGATTTTTAGAAATGCCATAATAAAGGACAAAATTTTAAAGTTTTTGAATGATCAAGAAACCTATTATATATTTATTGTTGAAATTGAAAAGTACAAAAAATAAAGTTGAATGTCTCTGTAAAGCACTCAAAAGAAAATTTACATAAAATCTCTGAAATTCCCACTCTCTGAAATACAGTTCTCTAAATGTAAAAGCAAATTTAGAACAGAAAAAAAGTAAAAATAAAAATCTTACATAAACATCAGATGATTTAAGCTTTAAATCTTGACAATTGTCAAAACAAAAAAAAAAACAAAAAAAAAATTCTTAATGCCAATAACTTAATGTGTATGTTAGTACACATGGTGTACGAAGGGGATATACCAGGTATTGATATCAAAAAATTATATTGCAGCATTTCGACTTATTACAAATGATAAATTTACTATTAAGTAAACAAACCATAAATTAAAAATGCTTTAAAAGTGTCATAACAAGATTTTATCATTCAATTTGATAATAAAGCATTATTTAAGATAAAAAAAGGAAAATGATTCAAGAATGACAGATTGGCTATTTTATTAAATATTGATGGAGAAGTTTATCTTATTGGAGTACCTTCTCTTATGTCTTTCTCAGCTGAGAGTCAGCAAAAGGAAAATGAATCTTCTTGACTTGACATTCAGAAAAACATCAAAGGCAAATAATTTTAACTAAACTTTTTCAGTAATACTGAACTAAAGAATTCACCATTTTGAATTGCAAGAACTTTAAATCTTTATTCATTATATCTAACTTTTCAGATTTGTATTGAAGTAGCAGATTCAAAGAATTGAAGCGGCTTTTCTAAAACGTTGCTGCACAAAGAATTGAAGCTGAAGGCTATTCCTTTCTAAAACTACACAAACGTTACTACACAAACAAAGATTTAAGGGCCGGTCAAATTTTTATTTAAAAATTCAAATATTCATCAAAGAAATCTTAAATATGATACAAATGTTACCAGTCTTTTTTTTGTGGAAGAAATCAGAAATTTAAAGCAACTATTAAATTCAGAATGTTCAAAATGAATGATGGCCATAACAAAATAATTGATGGCCATAACAAAATAATTGATGGCCATAACTATTTTATGACTCATTCTTACTTGGTAACTTGACTCAAACTTACTTTGTAATGACATAAAGCTAAAATCATAAATTTAGTATAAAAAATGCAAAAAAATAAATAAAATAAAATAAAAAAAATTAGAAATAAAAGGGAACAAAAATATTTAAAAAAATATAAAGACAAAAAAAATAATATCAATAAAAGAGAAATTTACAAAGTAAACTTTGAACCAACTTTTCATGTTCATCAGGATTCATAAACATAGCAAACCTTTTCATGACTTCTCGAAGGTCTCTATAAATTGGAAAATAAAGCATTCAAAAATAAATATATTATTTGAAAATAAATAAAACATTAGAAAACACATCAAGTAAAATAAAAACAAATAATAAATAAAGATATATCTACAATAACTTAATAGACTCTCTTAAAATCTTAAAAACGAATAGTTAATATACAATTCAATACTTATATGTCTTATTTTTTCTTGAAAAGATTTAACAGAGATAAAATTGAAATGAGAAAGTTGAAATAAAAATTTAAAGCAAAACATCCAAAGAAATTCATATTAGTAATCTTTTAAGCATTTATAATGTCTTAACACATTCCTTAACATAAAACAATACCTTTCTATGCGACTTTTGGAAAATACAATGCCTAAAAAATATCAAAAATATAAGTGCATGACCTTCATTAACTTTTGTTATCAAAGTATAAATTATTATGAAATTTATAAATTTAATTTAATATACTATATATCTATCAAAAATATTTACAATAACTAGCAAAAAGCAAAAACAAAAGTTTCTGTTAAAGCATTTGCAGTAAAAAATAAATAAAAATAAAATAAAGTTTTTTAAATTAAAGTCATTTTAACAGAAATTTTTTGGATTGAATAAAAGATTGCAAAATGCATGTTGCATTTTGCAACACGCATTTATTTATAACTTATTTATAACTTCGTATTTTTATTACACTTATTTATAGCTTCGCATTTTTATTAAGAGCCAAATATGCTTTAGCAACCCTAAAATTTTTATTTTTTATTTTTTGCACTTTAAAAAATTTGTTTTTAAATAGAATAAATAATTCTTTAACCAGACACAAAAAATCTGTTTAAAATGTCAAGTTATTCTATTGAATTGCATTACTGTTAATCTGAAATAAAAAAGAGAAGATATTCTAATTCTGTTGCAAATATTGTTTTATTTAAGTACAACTTTAAATCTAAGTATTTAAATATTAAAAAGTTGTTTTTGATCATTTTGAGATTTTTTTTTCTCCAAATAAGGACTTAGAGGAAAAGGGTGGACTCAATATTAAATAAATTTTTTGTGAGTTTCAACATCCTAGTTTTGAATCAAAATTATCTTTTTCTAAGCACCCTTAATGATAACAGAAAATTTAATAAAAAGATTCAAACTGATTTTAGTATATATTTAGTACATATATTTTTCATAGGAAATTTATTTATATAATATTAAATGAATACATATTAAAACATAAAATATTATACTATATGTACATATATAGTAGCACAAATATAGTAGTATTAGTATATTACAAATATAGTAGTAAAATATAGTAGTAAATATAGTATTAGTATATTATACATTGTATTTTATACCATAGTACTATGCATAACATTTTTCAACAGAACAAAACTTTATGAAAACCCTCCCACTTCAACCACATTTGTTCTGATAACTATCAGAATCTGGTTGTAACTTTTTTTTGTATTTTTTTTTAAATTTTTTAAGTTTTATTTTTAAGATTCATTGTTAGACATAGCTATTTGTTATATCATAAATCCCTTGAGTTATATATTAATGTGCCAATGTTCTACAAAGGATATTTGCTAGCAATATATTAGGAATATTAATTTGAGAATATATTTGTCTTTCGTAAATATAAAATAAAAATTGAAATTTCTAAATTTTAAAACAATTTCAAATTATCTGAAATTTTTAAATAATTTCTATTAAAAATATATGTAATTGATAAATTAAAAAAAAAAATAGTAATAATAAAAATAAAGTTACCATTAACATCAGAAATATCCAGCATTCCATAATCACGCAACAGCCTGGGATATAAAAATAATTCTTTAAAATAATATAAACATAAACTCAATGATTTATAAAATTTATCAATAAAATTTACACTATACATATTTATAAACATTCACATTTTTTTGACTTCTCTATCATTTAATCTTCTGAAATAAATATCAACAACAGCAAGGTTAAGCTCCATGATTAATTCATCATCTTCATTTATGTTAATGTCAACATCTTTCAAATCACATTCAGCAAAATTATCTGATTCCTGAGTGTGTGTATGTACATATATATATATATATATATATATATATATATATATATATATATATATATATATATATATATATATATATATATATATATATATATATATATATATATATATATATATATATATATATATACATATATATATATATATATACACATATACACATATATATATATATATATATATATATATATATATATATACACATATATATATATACTATATATATATATATATATATATATATATATATATATATATATATATATATATATATATATATGAGTATATACATAAACACATAATATGTATATACATAAACGCATAATATATACATATATAACTATATATACATATACATATATATATATATATATATATATACACAAAGAAACATATGTATATATATATATATATATATATATATATATATATATATATATATACAAACATATATATATACTCTCTGGTGCAAAATGTGAGACAGGTATTAAAGATTGTCTTGTCAAAGAAGTAGTAAATACCTGGTGCAGAGCGGGTTTTTAAAAAATCTCCTTAATGAAAAAGTGGACCATTTAAGGTCAGATCAGGAGTATGGTCTTCATGATCATCCTGCTACTGGTAACATGTAACCCAGTGCAACCTGTTCCATGTTCTGCTGCTTTGCAGGATTTGCTTTCTAAGCAAAGGCTGGAAGGAGTGTTCTTCCTGTCATCAGTACTATCTAATATCAGTCATGCCTATAGTAAATTTTTTTTCTTCCATATAGTTGGAGGTGCCTTAGTTACTGTATTAGCTCACCTGTAATCTACGTTATATGTATGTTTGTGTTCTGTCTGAACCTCTGGCGCAGTGTTCGCTCACCCGTAAGTTACTTTATGTTTTTTATGTATGTCTGTGTTCTGTCTGAACCTCTGGCGCGGTGTTTGCTCACCCGTAAGTTACTTTATGTTTATGTTTATGTTTTTTATGTTTTTTATGTATGTTTGTGTTCTGTCTGAACCTCTGGCGCGGTGTTGACTCACCCGTAAGTTGATTTATGTTTGTTTGTGTTCTGTTTATACTCTAATGCAGCGTGAGCTCAGTAACTAACTACTTACTCCAACTACAAAACCTACACTCACCTTAGACTGTATTTTGTTAGATGCAGTGTTTTCCTAATGCACTTCCAAAATATCATGCCTGGTTTTCTCAAAGTACTGATGCGGGAAGTAACTCCTTTTAACTACTCCAGGTCAGGTCAGGATAATCGAGACCAATCTTGCTACTGGTATCACATAACCCAGTACCACCTGCCACAAGCCCTGCTACCTTGCAGAGTGTGCTCTTCTTAGGCAAAGGCTAGGAGAAATAAACTCCGACTAAAAATTCCCCTGCCTTGGGGCTCTTGGTTGAGTAAAGGCTAGAGATGGTGTCTCGATAAAAACACTCATCTTGGGCAGATGTTAATTGCATCCAGCTAAACATCACCTGCCTTGGGGCTCTTGGTTGAGTAAAGGCTATAGATAGTGTCTCGATAAAAATACTCATCTTGGGCAGATGTTAACTGCATCCAGCTACTGTCTTGTAGAAGGCCTCCTAGGCAAAGGCTTTAGGGGTAAGCAGAAAAATTCTGCTAACCAGCCTCGAACCCCTTCTTCATCTATTAGGCTGGCGTAGATGTAACCTGTGTTCCATTGTTTCCTGCCTAAGATGATGAATGCTGGATCTCCTTGACTCTACTCATAGAATTTTGCTTATGTCTCCTAGATAATGGCAATGCAACTCTTCCTGTTATCTCCATATGAGGGTACAGCTCTAAAACTCAGTTTAATGGTTATGAGGCCGGCTGGTAGTAAGGATTCCCGAACTCTGTGGTAGCTCTCAGAGAGGCTGATTCCATCAACAGCTGCAAAATATCAGAGTATTAACAGTACCATGTTGCGCATGGATGGTGTCCCTGTTAATGCTTTTGGTGTGCATTGTCAAGGCCACATAAGGAGCCCTATGTCACGGCTTAGGGTTAATTAACATGACAGAGACAACTGCATAGCTCATTGATTAGGAGGCTGTGCTCTATCTATGAATGAGTCAAGTTCTCATTAAACCCAAATCATGACCAAAGTAACCAAAAATTTAAAACCTAAAAAACCATGCCCACCACCTTAATATTTTAATATTACTTTTACAAATATTCGCGGTCTACGAAGCAACTTTCCATCAGTTGAGTCTTACCTCCTGAAAAATTCACCAGACTTGCTTGCACTCAGTGAAACAAATTTAAATTCTGCAATTCCTTCTTCAGATGTCAGTGTTTATGGGTACTATCCTTTGATTCGTAAAGACTCCAATAGTCACATGCTAGGTTTAGGGGTATACATACGCATTAATTCCCCTATTTGTCGTGAAATCAGGTTCGAATCCTTTGACCATTCTTTGATGTGCTTTCGCCTAGCACCTCTTCACTCTATCACCTTTCTCTTTGTTCTATATCGTTCTCCTTCTTCCCATGATTGCACTCTTTTAAATGTTATCTCTGATCAAATTGACCATGCCCTCTCTCTTTACCCCTCTGCCAATATTGTTGTTGTTGGTGATTTTAATGCCCATCACACTGAATGGCTTGGCTCTAACACCACTGATCCTGCTGGCACTAAAGCCTTTAACTTCTGCGTTTCTCAATCTCTTACTCAGATAGTTAACTTTGTAACTCGTTTTCCTGACAACCCTAATCATTTACCTTCACTCCTTGACTTATGTCTTGTCTCTGACCCTAGCTTATGTTCAGTTTCTCCCTTTTCTCCCTTAGGTGGTTCTGACCATGTAATGATCTCTATAAATCTTTCTTCTCGTACTTAATTTTTGGGCTCACCTTATCATCGCACCACCTACTACTACCCTAAAGCTGACTGGGATTCCTTTCGTGATTTTCTTCGTGATGGTCCTTGGGCTGATGTTTTTTCTCTCTCAGCTGACAAATGCGCCTCCTACGTAACCTCCTGGATTCAGTCTGGAATGGAAGTTTTTATTCCTTCTCGTCGGTTTCAAGTCAAGCCTCATTCTACTCCATGGTTTTCTCCTTCTTGTGCGGCTGCTATATCCAATCGTAATCATTTTTTTCATCTTTTTCAAAAGAACAACTCTCTTGAGAACAAACGGCTATTTATTATTGCAAGAAATCGATGTAAAAAGGTGCTTTCTGATGCTAAACTCCATTATTCTCAGTTCACTAAATCTCGCATCTTATCGCAGAAGTTAGGCTCTAAAGACTTTTGGAAAATCTTCAACAGCATTGTTAACAAGGGTAGATCTAACATTCCATCTCTCATTCATGGGACTGATCTTATTACCTCTCCCAAGGATAAGGCAGAACTATTTGCAAAGAACTTTTCTTCTAATTCCACTCTTGAATCTTATGGACATTCTCTTCCTTCCACTCCAGTCAAACAGGTTGACCCATTGTTAGACATTCAAATCACTCTGGCTTCTGTTGCTAAAGTCATATCTCAATTAAACTCGTCTACAGCTTTTGGTCCAGACAACATTCCTGTTACAGTCTTGCAGAATTGTTCTCCAGAACTTTCTTCAATTCTCTCTAAACTATTTAACAAGTGTTTGACTGAGTCTTGTTTTCCTGCTTGTTGGAAAAGGCATCTGTGGTTCCAATATTCAAAAACTCTGGAGAAAATTCTGACCCCTCCAATTATTGTCCGATCAGTCTTCTTTCTGTTATTAGCAAGGTCTTTGAGTCTTTGATCAACAAATTCCTCACATCTCATCTTGAGTCAAATAAACTACTGTCAGACAATCAATACGGTTTTCGATCCTCTTGCTCTACGGCCGACTTGCTAACTGCTGTAACTGAAAGATTTTATCGTGCACTAGATGGAGGCGATGAGGCTAGGGCTATTGCTCTCGACATATCTAAAGCTTTCGACAAAGTTTGGCATGCTGGTCTTCTCCATAAGCTTGCTTCATATGGTGTTTCTTGGAAAGTTTTTGAGATTATCAAATCATTTCTTTCTAACCGGTTTATTAAAGTCATCCTTGAAGGCCAACACTCTTCTTTATTTCCAGTAACTTCTGGGGTTCCCCAAGGTTCCATCCTGGGCCCTGTTTTGTTTCTTATCTACATAAACGATCTTCCTGACAACCTTTTATCTAAAGTAGCTCTTTTTGCTGATGACTCAACTTTATACTCCTGTCTTGACAAAAAGTCTTCTCTTTTCGATCGCCTAGAACAAGCAGCTGATCTTGAATCCGATCTCACTTCAGTAATAGATTGGGGTTCACAGTGGTTTGTGAATTTCAACTCTAAAAAAACCCAGTTGCTTACTGCAAACAACTACCGTAATATGGTCAACATTCCTATATTAATGAATGGCAATCCTTTTACTGAGTCGTCCTCTTTACATCTTCTTGGATTATCGCTTACTACTGACCTTTCATGGAAACCATATATACAATCGATTGCTAAATTAGCTTCTGCTAAGGTTGCTTCTCTTTATCGTGCTCGCCATTTCCTTACTTCTGATTCCATTCTCTACCTCTACAAATCTCTTTTTCGTCCCTGTATGGAATACTGTTGTCATATTTGGGCTGGTTCTTCTAGTGATTCACTTTCTCTGCTTGACAAGGTCCAAAAACGCATTGTAAATGTTGTTGGACCTGGACTATCTGCTAAGCTTGAACCTCTTTCCCATCATCGTAAAGTTGCATCTCTTTCTCTTTTCTACAAATACTATCATGGTCACTGCTCAAAGGAGTTATCATCTCTAGTTCCATCAACTAAAATTCATTCTCGTTTTACTCGTCATTCAGCTAAGTCTCATTTGTTTACTGTATCTGTCCCTGCATGCTCTAAAAACTTTTATTCATCTAGTTTTTTTCCCCGCACTTCAATCCTTTGGAAATCTCTCCCATCTTCATGTTTTCCTGACTCATACAACCTTCAACTTTTCAAGTCTTCTGTCAACCGTTTCCTTGCTCTATAACTCTGTTCTTTTTTTCTTAGTAACTCCCAACTTAATAGTGGTTGCTTGCAGCCTTGTTGGGAGTGAATGCAAATAAAAAAAAAAAAAAAAATTAGAACTAAGATTATAGAGCTCAACAAAAAATGGAGAAAGCTAATAGATCTCAAAATATAAGACTTTCTCAATGTCTTTACAATAGATGATTTTTTTTTTAATTTTCACTGTCAACCTTTTTTAAAATTGTAAATGTGTTATGTCTTTTTTTTCATTTTAGATTGAACTTCTCTTAAAAAGAAAATCTTTCGATTCTCGATACCTACTATAAAAAAACTTCAAATCCTTTTCAAATCAAAACCTTTAGGCTGCAAAAATATTGTAACGAAAATCAAAGCTGATCGCAACAGATCACCTGATGCCATTAAAAAGGACATTGAATTTATAACCCGCCAAAAGTTGACTAGAAAAATGTGTATAACTGAGAGTATTGACATAATTTACCGAAAGAGAATTGGATGTAGGAATGAGTTGGACAAAAAACTTGAAATGTTCAAAGAGGATAAAAATTTATTTGAAAATCATATTGTCTCTGATTCTGATACAGAATCAATAAATTTTGAGTCAAACTCTAGTGAAGAATTTAAAAATTTCTTTAACAAAAAGAAGAAAAATTAGAATAAAATTATAATAAAAAAAATAGGGAAAAATTAGAATTAGTTTTAAAAATGCTTTAATCAATAAAAAAATTCTTGTTTCACTTTGATGGTAAATTGTGTAATAAATAAAATCTTAAAACTAATATTACTGTTAAAATGGAAAGGATTGCAGTAAGCATGACAGCTTCTGAGGATTATAATAATAGTGTTAGGATGATAATAAAACTGCAAGGCAAAGACCAAGCAAAACAAATAAAAAAGGTACTATAAGATTTGGAAATTAAAAATAACATTTTTGCTGTTTCTACTGACACAACTGCTTCAAAAACTGGTGCACATTATGGAGGAATCGAACTAATAAGTAGGTATGTTATCGGAAAGCACATTATGTGGCTTTGATGTTGTGAACACATATAGAGTCATCAGTCATTTAGTACAAGCGCTAACAAGAAAGGCAAAGCACCAAAAAAAACAACTGCTTTCAAATTTAAAAAAATTGGCCGGAAAAATTTTTTTTTTATGAAATCAAAATATTACATCATTAGAAAAAATTAATTTCAAGATTTAAAAAAAAAATCCTACATGCATCAGATTACACAAGAATTTAAACAATACTTAGGAAATGCCATTGCCCTAAAAAACCTTTTCCAAGATGAGAACAGACTATATAAGATTAAATGAACTAGGTTATTTTAATTTGGATAATGAAGTGCCTAATTTTTACCTTCATCAACTCCCTGCTTGTCATGAAGCTAGATTTATGGCAAATAAAATATATTTATTGATGCATCAACTAACTAATAAAAAACTGAAATTTATGTCAGTGGAGGAGATAGAAGATGTCAACAAAACTGCACCTTTTATAGCAATATTTTACATTTCTTGGTTTCTGAAGTCGATTATCATAATCCAGGTACCATCTAATGATCTCAAAGCTATTAAAGTAGCCAAAAGCATAGAAGAAGACGACGAAATACTAGGTCTGAAAAAAAAAAAAAAGTCTGAAAAATTATTTTCTTAGGTATACATGGTACTTGGCTGAAGATGTTATTATTATATCACTAACAGATCTAGGTGTAACTAATGAAGAGAAATTTCTCATGGTACAGAAACTAAATAATTATCTTTATCTTGAGGATATTTCTAATTTTCAAATAAAGAAACCAGAGATTAGAGATGATATAATCATTAACAAATACACTCATTTGCACAAGTTTGTTGGGAAAAACAATTGGTATATTTTTTTCATACTCCATCCTAATATACAAGATATATTGCTATAGATTTTTGATGGAAAATTTTTAGGTCTTCATCCAAACTTCAAGTTTTTAAAAAATTTTGTTTCAAATATTCAGTGCACAAATGACTGCTTCTAAAAGAAATATCTAGTGCAAGATTTCCTGGCAGACAGTCATAATGAAAACCAGAGACAAAACATCATAATGGTTGCTAAAGAAAATAGAAAAAGTGTAAATAAAAAAGAGTGATTTGAACAATATTAGCAAAAAGTATTTTAGATTGAAAGTAATTTTTTTTTTCTACTTTAATCAAAAAAAAATATTTTGAACCAAGATAAACTGTTTTTTCTTGGATTTTTTTATTATTTAAATTTTAAACATTTTGAAGAAAAATGAAAATCTACACCTAACACTTTCTGATGGTTTAAAGAACTAAAATTTTGCATTTTTGCTTTTATTTAAGGTATATGATCAGGATATGTTTTGAACCTTTTGGTTCTGTGAAAAAGTTGTATTTTTGGTACACCCAAATATATATATATATATATATATATATATATATATATATATATATATATATATATATATATATATATATATATATAATATACATATACACACACAGGCACACACCGTTAAGTACATTTTTTGTAGTGAAGTAGTGGTAGAACGCTCGCTTCATAAGTGAGAAGTTACGAATTCTATACCCACCACGTGGCCTTGTTTGTCAAGATTTGTGTTTCAAAGTTATAGAGTTGATATATATATATATATATATATATATATATATATATATATATATATATATATATATATATATATATATATATATATATATATATATATATATATATATATATATATATATATATACATATATAAAAGAAAGGAAGGGTCAAATATATATATATATATACTTGACTCTTTATATAAATATATATAAAGGATCTTTATATATATATATAAAGATCTTTATATATAACAAAAAAATTTATAGAAAATTGAAAGTCAGTAAATGATTATTTCTTTGTGGTTTTTATTAACCAGGAGCTCCAAAAATATGAAAAGGTTTATAAACTACTTTAGGGGAAAAATGTTACCTGTTTATGGTAGAGCTCAGAGTTTTTATGCATAATAAGGGCAAGAGACTCTATTTTTCTATTATTCTATTTTTCTAGGACTTTGGGAATAAAAAACAATAGGTTTTAAATCATTAAATCTCAGGAGTTTATTTTTTATTGCAGAAAATTAAACTCAACATTTTTAGAGTTCCTGGACACCAAAGACCAAATAATAATTTGCACCAAAGAATAAATAGTGATTTAAAGCAAGATTGTTTTGAAACATCCAATCCCTGTTCAAAGCTAGTTTACTATATTAGTAAAAGAATGAACCATGACAAACCAAATATGTTTGTTATAAAAAGATAAATTAAATATAAACATAAACAAAACTTATCACTTCATTAAAATAAAATTTCATTTTAATGAAATGATATGAACAATATTAAACTGTTTTTTTACTTTATTAAGATGATTTTAATAAGAATAAGGTTTTAGGGGAGGGCGTCCATGGAAAACAATTGAAAATGTTTCAAATGATGACTATTCTTCTGTATGAAAAATTTTATTAGTATAAACAATATTAAGAAACTTTGTCATAAAAACTTCAACTGAAAGAATTTCAAAGCAATTACAATTTTAATGACAACTTATACTGATATGTGTATTGTATAAAGCTTCTCAATATCCAATATTATGTAAAGAGGCCAGACTTAAATGGCATATTATAGACAAGGACAAATATAAATAGTGAAAATTGCTGCATTAAAAAAAAAAAAAAGAACAAAAGATCAATAAAGCTAAATGATAAATGGCAAATTAACCAACCAACAAAAAGTCTCCACGAGCAGCCATATATCCGATTAAACAAAGTGGGTCATCTGTATTCTCTTCAGGTCGAGGAGGTACCTTGCTAGCTATATACATAAATATCACAATATAAACTATATATATATATATATATATATATATATATATATATATATATATATATATATATATATATATATATATATATATATATATATATATATATATATAAAATACCAGGCCTTAATAAAAAAACGACTTATCACATTATCTTGTTGTGATTTTGACATCATAAAACTATTTTAATTATTTTTAATTTAAAACATTAACTTTTTTAACTACCTCAATAAAATAAATTACTGTAAAAGAAGTTTATTTTACTAATTAGGAAAAACAAATCCAGAAGTATTTTTTTCTGAATGAACATATTGTGGAATGTCTATTTTTTTTTTATTTCTTTTTACTTTTTTTATTTTTAATACTAAAAAAACTTAATTTAATTACATTTTTATTATTGTTTGACATAAATTGATTTCTTTTTATAATGTTTGCTAACCACCTACTATTTTTCATTGTAAAAAGGTTCACAATAAAAACTATGCTTTACAGAGGATGTAAAAATTATTTTACAAAACTTTCTAATGTAAATCATACTTTGTAGGGAATGATAAAAATGAAAAAGTTAATTGGTTCCTTACTACTAAAAGTAGCAATCTGATTTGTTTTAGAAAAAACTCTGCACTGTAAACTACACTTTGCAGCATCTGCAGCAGTTATTTGATTGGTTGCAAATGTACGCCGCTGTGTCAAGATTTAACACTGTGTCAACGCCGCTGTGTCAAGATTTAACACTGTGTCAACGCCGCTGTGTCAAGATTTAACACTGTGTCAACGCCGCTGTGTCAAGATTTAACACTGTGTCAACGCCGCTGTGTCAAGATTTAAAAAGTTCAAAAATTTTTTGTTAAATCATAAGTAGAGTCATAGTCATAAAATCGTCTGGAAGTCATAGTCTGGAACCATGGACCGTTTCTATTGTTTTGCCATTTTAACTTGAATTTTGATTTTCGACCTGTTCACCCTGCACATTTTTTTTTTAAATGAGCACTGAACTTAATGTTGAAACACAGCTTGATGATTTGTATATGACTCTAACTGATGGAATTTTTGACAATAACATGGAAATTGAACAAGACCTAGATAATTTATTATCTGAAGTTTGTTTTAAATCCAATTTTTCGTGCAACTTGTGATGTAAAGTTTAAAAAACAAAATATGGCCTGAAAAGACATAAAACTTCGAAACACAAATAAATCAACTCAATTAACGAAGAAAAAGACTCCATACAACAATTAACGAAGATAAAGACTCCATACAACAATTAACGAAGATAAAGACTTCATACAACAATTAACGAAGAAAAAGACTCCATACAACAATTAACGAAGAAAAAGAATTGATATCTTGATCTTGAGAAAGTTGTTGAAGAATATGCTTGTAAATTATTAAAAGATTTATGCTTACCTGAAGAAATTTGAATCAAATTTTCAAAGCAGAATTTTTCTTTTAGTTCTGAAAATTCAATTTTTCTTTTCGAAAAATTTCAAGGTTTTATTTCAAAATACAATGGTGATGCAGAAAAATTTTAATCTCAATTTTATGGACTTCTTTATGAAAATTTATTGCCATCAAAGTTTGACAATAATTTACTGACCAATACTTTGCTTACTGATGTTGGAAATCACATACTATGAGATCTTTCAGAAAGTAAACAAACTAACTCATCTAATAGCAAAGTTTCGTCATCTTATGTTTTTTCAGATAAATAATTAAGTATAATTCAATATTTGTCCGCCTATGTTGTTCAAAAACTTTACTCAAAGTTCAAATTTTACAAATCTGATGAGCAGTATAAAAAACAATGCATATAAATATTATTAGCATGCAAAATTGATTCAGATGATACCCAAAAATATGTTAATACTAAGAACAGAGGTGATTTATTTAAAACTAACATCTATACTCAAAATATCATTACTCAATGTGAAACAATTTTTTGTAAACAAAGCAAATCTTTTGTAACATCTATTAACAGCAAAGCTCTAATGAAATGCTTAAGGACTCAGTGATTATAAGTAGCTTAAACAATATATGTTACAGTACTGAAGTGCAAATTGATAAAAAAACATCTTTCTTCTTTAAAGCATGCTTGTTTTGTTCACAAAGGTAAGAAGCTTTTCCTATGCTAGAGATATTCATGAGAGACATCATATCAACAAACGACAAGCACGCAAATCTTCTATAAGGACAGAGATTAAAAAAGCGACGTGCAACAATGTAGTTGATCCATAAATTTGGTTTTGGGTTCATCAACAATCTGCTTTAGAAGATACAAAATGGTTCTTTTTATAGCCACAAATTTAATTAAAATGGTATGGCTAAAACAACTTAGTTATTTTTAAATAAAAATATTGATATTTATTGTTGAATAAAAAAAGAGTATTAGTTTTTAACAACTCTGATTTCTTTATTGAAATCAGAATTGTTAAATTCTGATTCAAATATTGCCAATTTAAATATTTCCTACTGATAATAATTTTCTTGGAATTTTTTTATCCTCTGATTATGCCCCATAAACAAGTTGCCTGTTGGAAACTGACCCAGATCCTTCACCCTTTGTGCGCCCCTGTATACACACACAATGTGTAAAAAAAAAATGTCACACCCAGTAATTTTTCAAGAAATAGGAATTTTTGTATGTTTTAGTTTAAATTTTTTACCTTACGCAAATTTAAATTCTTAATATATCATAATTATGATATATTAAGAATATTCTTAATATATTATTGCAATCACCCCTTAATCCTTTTTTAACTTTTCTGCGGTATAAGTAAGTATAATTGCTGCGGAAAAAACATGAACAAACAAATTTGGTTGTTATTAAAACAATTTTTTTAGCAAAAAAAGTTCTTTTTATAAGTTCTTGATAATACAATCATGGTTAAAAGATTATATTTAGTAAATGTTACACTATTAGGCTTTTTTACATATAGTAAATGTTAAGCCTAATAAAAAAAGTCCTATATATTTCTGGAAAAATAAAAACAAACAAGACATCTTTTTTATCTATTTTTGTTTATGCAACTTTTTTTTGTACTGAATTAAAAAGTGGGCTGTTCAATGCTGCCAATACTAAATCACCCAGAAAAAAAAATGCTGTTTTAACACCTCCTCATCTTGTACATATGCACATAAAAGTTTTCTACTCTAGGAGGAGGTTTAACAGTTTTTGGGTAATTCTTCTCCCTCATGCTTATAAAGACCCCCCTCCTTCATTATTTTTTATTTGTTATCAACAAATAAACGAAACTATATATGCATTCAGTGTAAATTGGCCAAAAAATAATTAGAAAATATAAACTAAAATAAATAAAAACTTTTAATCAGGCTTTAATAATCATTGGCTTATTAAAAAAAAAAAACATCCAAAAAAGCTTATTAGATTTGATAAAAAATTCCCACCCACCCTTTTAATAAGACCCAGTTTTTTATTAGATTTAGAAATTCCCACCTCATTTTGTATTAAGCACCTGAGAGTAATGTTACACAAATACTGTTTAGTTTATAAATTTAGGGAATTATCAGCCTATTGCTTATATCAAAGGAACATTTTCCTTTACAAAATAAACAAATAAATAATATAAATAAACAGTAACTGTTGTCACAAGCATAAAAAGTGAATTCTTAGCCAATAATGTAATTATTTTTTATTTGTAGCTATGAAAATAGGTGTTTTGACAGGATTATAGCCACTGTCCGGGACTTTGGTAATTTGCTATTTAGTTTGATTTTTTTCTTCTTTTTGGCAGTGGTGAATCAATTATCTCATTAAAATTATGTCTTTGACCTTGAACGTTACCGACAATAGATCATATAGAATATTTGTGACTTAATAGTGTTGTCATTATGCCCAGCATCTCTGACAGTGGGATTATCACGTCTGCTGCCAATGGCACGCTGCCTTCCAAAGTAGTTTTCTAAATCGTCTTGACAAAATCTTTCTAAAAAAATATAAGAAACACCATGTTCTAAGAGAAACATACAAACTTTTTTGAACAAATGCACTGTTATCTGGATACCTTCATATGTTTGCAAAGAAATAAACATATTAGCCATGGCATTAATATAATAATTCCCATTTTCGATTGATAGATTCTTTCCATTTCTCAAAGTATAAAAGAAAACAGTCAAGCCATTCAAAAAGTACATCATTAACAGATTCATATGGTTTTAGATTTTAATTAAAATTTTTATTAGCTTTATTTTTACTTGAAACATTCAAGCAGTCAAAAAATTTATCAATCATAAGACAAAATTGAGAAAATCCTGTGCATTTTAGTGGACCAAATCTTTTAAAACATTGCCAACTGTTTCACTAAACACTTGAGCAGCCAAGTAAACACCCATTAATGAATATGGTGTTAAATTAATGCGATCATTTGTAAGTTTATTTACTAATCTTAAGCCACATTCTAAGTCTTCATAAAAAAGTTGAGAAATATGACTCCAGAGTATGTGTAAACCATTATTCCACATGTAACAAGTACCTCGTCCAGAACCAGAATTTGCAAGGTTTAATTTGCAGTTTTAATTAAGTGTGAAGCATCTGAAAAGAAGTATATGTAACATTTTTTGTTAGAGTAAATACTGTGAGCTCTGTAAACTAAATCATTACACAAATTCATATTTAAGTTCTTATGCATACTAAAAAATTGAGAAAGAAAATTGTGTTTTTTTTGCAAGTTCACTTAAGACAGCTGGATTAAATCCTCTAGTAGGTCAGATGTAATTTTTGTAATCTCTCAAAGTTCTTAAAAGGATCCCAAACTCCCAACACATGTTGTGGTCATATTAAAGATAATGTTAAAAAAAAAGGTTTGAACCAAGTTTTTTTGATGAAAAATAAATAATGAATGCATACTAAGAAAAACTAATGTTGTTGTTTTAGTTAAAGCTCGCCTTCTCCATTTTTTTCAATAACTCGAAGTCTTCAAATTATATGTCAAAATCTACAGACATTGGCGATTCCTTTGAAGCGCGTTTAATT